GTAAAACAACAGGCCCGTGTTAATCGGGCATTTGCCTAGGACAAAAATGGTAACTAACTGTCTGTCTCTGTATTCCTCAAAAGGGAAATTTAAACACATAGTTTCAAAACATGACCCTATGCCCGAACTTTAAATTTTGGGTTTAGTTTCTACACCCGTTGTCCCCAAACTCCCCGAAGTCTTTTAAACCCAAACCCAAGCCCGGCCACTCAACATCAGTCAGTCTGTTCCGTTCAAGTTGCTCCCTAAATATATTATCTACGTTTTGTTTCACAGATCTACTCAGGCTTCTAATACATTTTATAACAAAATTTTCATTTTTTACTTCTCTCCCAAAATTTTTTCCTGATCCCAGACACAGATATACCCCGTTTATTTAATTCCCTTCTGGGTATCTTCTTGGCTACATATCAATTTTCTGAAGGAGTAATCCAATGTGTGATGGGTCCATAGCAATTGTACATTGATTCTTTTTTCTATCCTGGCTTCTCCCAAGAGATGTTGTTTGGGGTCTTTTCATGAGTCAAGAGGCTTCAAGATGACCCGAAACAGTAATGATGATGAGTCAAGCTCGTGACTAAGTTAGCTTTAGCGCATTTGTTTTCAAACAATTCAGTTTGCAGTGTAGACACCCAGTTGTTAATTCTTATGCCTGGTTCAACAAACTTATTATCGTTCTTAACTAGGGAGGTGGCAACAAGAGCAGATGCAGCCCTGCCAGAAGACTCCTGTTTAGATCCATCAATGTATATAACTTGTGATAACTTATTACTACCAGCTAGGCGAGAAATTTCCTCTTGAGCAGTTGCTATAACATGTGATTTAAGTAAGAGATTACTAGCAATGAGCTTCTTGGGAGGGACTTGCAGGTATGTGATATTAAATGAACACATCTTCCATGGAGGGACAAAATGCTCTTGTTGTCTACAGTGATACGTGTAATTGCAAGTTTTCACAATCCATTTGGATCTGTGTGTATTTACTTCTAGACATTTAGTAAGATTCATTGTGAGAGTGTCTGGTTCATTTCTTAGCATTCTAATACTGAGTACAGTGTTAATCTTAACAATTGATACTGGAAATACCTAGCTCCTTCCTCATATTAAGAACACCTCGGGAAAACGGAAGCCATACTGTTTGGCACGAAACAAACTGAGAAGGGCAAATAATTTTAATGTCCGGTGTAATGGGGAACCCATCACTTCAGGTTCCCCAGTAAAATATCTGGGAATCCCCTTTGACCCAGGCATGTCATGAAAATTGATAGGGAACAGAGTAGTAAAGAAAGCGAATGCCAGACTGAAGTTCCTCTATAGACAAGCACAGTGTCTACCTACAGAGACTCGCAGGACCCTATGTCTAACCCTTATTCAGTGTCAAATGGACTATGCTTGCTCTTCATGGTACTCTGCCTTGACAAAAAAAAAAAACTGAAAGACAGACTGCAAATCACCCAGAACAAAATGGTGAGATTCATACTGGACCTGGGTCCAAGAAAACATATAGGCCAGGATGAATTACAACAATTGGATATGCTGAATATTGAAGACAGAGTAAAACAACTAAAGTTAAATCAAGTTTATAAAATTGCTCACAAACAGTGTCCAGAATATCTTGCTGCCAATTTTGTCAAGGTTGGGAACCAAAGCAATCATAGTACTAGGGAGAGAGAGCACAACTTTATAGTACCCACAGTCAGTGGCCAGGCTTCAAACACCTTTTATTGTATAGCAATAAAGGAATGGAATAGAATGCCTGCATATGTCAAAGCCAGTCATAGCATGAACCAGTTCAAGAAGAGAGACAAAAAGTACCTAATAAATGTAGCGACAGAAAGGGAGGAGAATGATTTTTTAACTAACACCCATGTAAATATAAACAACTAATTTTACCTCATTCCTTGTATATCTCCTTTGTAGTATGATAATAAGATATTATCTCCTTTATGGTGTAATAATATATCCTTTATATTATAATAATAATGTATTAAAAGGACCCCCAATAGAAATGTCACTGACTTTTTTGGGTTATCCTAGGTTCTCTACACATATGCTGCTATGTATGATAATCTATGTAACTATTCGTGTACATCTGAATAAATTTACTTACCCTCATGTAGAGTACTAGTGGTAAAATAATCTCCCTCTGCGTGCGGCCAACAATAACAGCCTGGTTGATCAGGCCCTGATCCACCATGAGGCCGGGTTGTTAGGTAAGACACATATGCAACAGTTAGGTATCTTTATTTCGAAACGTTTCGCCTACACAGTAGGCTTCTTCAGTCGAGTACAGAAAAGTTGATAGAAGCAGAAGATACTTGAAGACGATGTAATCAGTCCATCACCCTTAAAGTTTTGAGGTGGTCAGTCCCTCAGTCTGGAGAAGAGCATTGTTTCGTTGTCTGAAACAATATGAAGTTGAAGTGACAGGATGGAGCATTTATATAGTGCCAGGAGGTGAGATGTAGGTTGCTTTGGGAGGGCAGGTCCCTCTCAAACCCAGCCGTTCTCACTAGTAGAGGTCGAAGTTGATGGTCTGTACCAAGATACCCTTGTGTTGCAGTGTCTGACAGAATGAACATTAAAATGGTATAAAATACCGACAGATTGTTAGGTAAGACACATATGCAACAGTTAGGTATCTTTATTTCGAAACGTTTCGCCTACACAGTAGGCTTCTTCAGTCGAGTACAGAAAAGTTGATAGAAGCAGAAGATACTTGAAGACGATGTAATCAGTCCATCACCCTTAAAGTTTTGAGGTGGTCAGTCCCTCAGTCTGGAGAAGAGCATTGTTTCGTTGTCTGAAACAATATGAAGTTGAAGTGACAGGATGGAGCATTTATATAGTGCCAGGAGGTGAGATGTAGGTTGCTTTGGGAGGGCAGGTCCCTCTCAAACCCAGCCGTTCTCACTAGTAGAGGTCGAAGTTGATGGTCTGTACCAAGATACCCTTGTGTTGCAGTGTCTGACAGAATGAACATTAAAATGGTATAAAATACCGACAGATTGTTAGGTAAGACACATATGCAACAGTTAGGTATCTTTATTTCGAAACGTTTCGCCTACACAGTAGGCTTCTTCAGTCGAGTACAGAAAAGTTGATAGAAGCAGAAGATACTTGAAGACGATGTAATCAGTCCGTCACCCTTAAAGTTTTGAGGTGGTCAGTCCCTCAGTCTGGAGAAGAGCATTGTTTCGTTGTCTGAAACAATATGAAGTTGAAGTGACAGGATGGAGCATTTATATAGTGCCAGGAGGTGAGATGTAGGTTGCTTTGGGAGGGCAGGTCCCTCTCAAACCCAGCCGTTCTCACTAGTAGAGGTCGAAGTTGATGGTCTGTACCAAGATACCCTTGTGTTGCAGTGTCTGACAGAATGAACATTAAAATGGTATAAAATACCGACAGATTGTTAGGTAAGACACATATGCAACAGTTAGGTATCTTTATTTATTTATTTGTGTCTTACCTAACAATCTGTCGGTATTTTATACCATTTTAATGTTCATTCTGTCAGACACTGCAACAAAAGGGTATCTTGGTACAGACCATCAACTTCGACCTCTACTAGTGAGAACGGCTGGGTTTGAGAGGGACCTGCCCTCCCAAAGCAACCTACATCTCACCTCCTGGCACTATATAAATGCTCCATCCTGTCACTTCAACTTCATATTGTTTCAGACAACGAAACAATGCTCTTCTCCAGACTGAGGGACTGACCACCTCAAAACTTTAAGGGTGATGGACTGATTACATCGTCTTCAAGTATCTTCTGCTTCTATCAACTTTTCTGTACTCGACTGAAGAAGCCTACTGTGTAGGCGAAACGTTTCGAAATAAAGATACCTAACTGTTGCATATGTGTCTTACCTAACAATCTGTCGGTATTTTATACCATTTTAATGTTCATTCTGTCAGACACTGCAACACAAGGGTATCTTGGTACAGACCATCAACTTCGACCTCTACTAGTGAGAACGGCTGGGTTTGAGAGGGACCTGCCCTCCCAAAGCAACCTACATCTCACCTCCTGGCACTATATAAATGCTCCATCCTGTCACTTCAACTTCATATTGTTTCAGACAACGAAACAATGCTCTTCTCCAGACTGAGGGACTGACCACCTCAAAACTTTAAGGGTGATGGACTGATTACATCGTCTTCAAGTATCTTCTGCTTCTATCAACTTTTCTGTACTCGACTGAAGAAGCCTACTGTGTAGGCGAAACGTTTCGAAATAAAGATACCTAACTGTTGCATATGTGTCTTACCTAACAATCTGTCGGTATTTTATACCATTTTAATGTTCATGAGGCCGGGTCATAGACCGGGCCGCGGGGGCGCTAACCCCCGAAACCCTGTCCAGGTATACTCTCATGTAGAGTACAAGGGTGTATGATCCACTTAATATTTGTATTTTTAACTCATTACAATTGTGACCGGGTGTGGACGTATCAGTGGCTCATTACTTTGTAATTTGTTCATGATTGTAATAATGTATAGGAGTGAGGCTGATTCATTACCTTTGTAACTTGCCATGATTGTGACCAGATCTACCTGGAGTTCATTACCTTTGTAACTTTTTCAGCTATCATAACTCCGGGGTCCAGTCCCTGGACCCATTATGTACCTCTGTATCTTTTGACTACCACCCACAGGATGGGTATGGGGTGCATAATAAACATTAACTAACAATAGTAGTGGAGTTCAGCGCCGCTGGTGAGGAGAGTGGTGGCCTGGAGAGAGGTTCCTTGAAGGTGGTGGTGGTACAGATCACATCCAAGGAATGTGATCTATGCCACCTGGGAGTGAGCTTATTCTCCCAGGTAGTCCATGACCCCCACGGATTGAGCGCTCCACTATGAGTAGTACTGATAGTGAGGGTGTAGTAGTGCCATCTAGTGGTGGTAGTCAGAGTTAGTCAAGTTATCAGTGATGGTGTTATAGTGAAAGTTAGGACAGTGACCAACCTCAAGGGCACCGAAGATCAGTTGAACTTCAGTGGTCGAAGAGGTGATATGTGTTGCTCCTCCACCTGCTACCCCCCCCCCGCCGGCTTTACCGCTTCCTCGTCCTTTCAATACACCTAAATAACGTAAGTATTGTCTGATGACGCATTTATCAGTACAACAGCAGAGTTGAGCTGCAGCTCCTTGTCCCCACCAGTTTGGTCACCAAATTATTATTTTGTCTTAATTTTCTTTGGGGTGTAATGTCTTGAAGGGGGGGGCGGGGGTGATTGACCTTAGTGGAGGGGTTTTGATGCGAGGAACTGGAGCTACTCCCCTACCTCAACTCTCACACTAGGCGTTACATAACCCATAATGGTGTATACAGTTTTGAGATATTTTTTCCATTATTAAAAAATAACTTGAAGGTCTCTTGATCCAAGAAACTTGTGCCTTGTGATCCAGATATAGACTTCCATGTAAACAAATTGTCATCAGGTCTATGTAAAAGAAATATTTATTAAAGAAAAAGATTACTTACTATGTGAAACAATAATGAGTATGTCAGGCAGTAATGTTACTAGTTTATATTAAATGGTAATGTTTGCCTATAAATGTGTGTAATGTTCATGGTTTTAATTCGAATGTGTTTCAGGTGTGGTAACTGAGGTTTGTTGAGCTTGGCTATCTACTGGAACGTTGATCACAGCAACTTTGACCGGTCTGAGGAGTGCTGTGCCTGGCTGTGTGCTGCAACACTGATCAACACGGCAACCTATACCAGTCTGACGAGTGGAGACAACCACACTAGTAAATGGTTTGACCCATAACATTTAGTGTTATGTGGCGATTCAGCAGTTGGAGATGGCGTTAAAGATGGGCAGGGCCCACTTGTAAGGTATTTCCAGGTTATACGTTCACTAAAGTTTGGTTATTGAAGCAGATAATAATTGTATTAGATGGGAAGGTGGGGTGGGGACAGTATGAGAAAGATTGTAACTAAGCAATTGATATCAAAAGTAGCTTAGTGGGAAATATTAGATTATCTCCTGACCAGAGATGAAATCTCTGGTCAGGAAATGAGGAATGTATTCTATAGGTTACCTTGAATGGGGTGGAAATAAAAATTGGAGAAATGGGTTATAAAGCTTATAATTGAAGACTGATTAGATTTTATGAAGTTTTAGTGTAATATGTTTATTATGCAGTCTATACCTATCCTGCAAGATTATAGGAAGCAGAGATGAAATGTGTAAGTGATATGGCCCGTTGGTAGTGGCGTCAACTGAAGAACCGGGATTCGATCCCGGGCACAAGTGGGCACGTTCCCATATATCCATGGGTACAATTCACATAATTATACTGATAGTTCAGTACGGTGAGGGTAATGGTAGAGATCTTGAAACGAGTGTAAGGAAAGCCTATTAAATCAGGTATATCCATTATTAAGACAAGAAAATAGCACTGAAGCAGGCCTATTGGCCGATGTTAGGCAGGTCCAATTCTCAACCATTCATTTGTCTAACCTATTTTTAAAACTACACAGCTAAAGTTTTAGCTTCGCATAACGGGATAAATTTTCCTTAGGCAGAAATGTGGAATTAACCGCATCTTCCTATTTTCAGTAGGGTTGTAGAGGGCCTGGCTAAGTAATTTTATGCTTTGAAGTCCTAAAAATATTTTCAGTAGCATAGCCTTGTGGGTTTAGCGCTTACGACTGCAGAATCTGTTAAGAGCGTCTTGGGGGGGGGGGAGCATTGCTTTGAAATTAGGTTATACAATATATATGTTTACAGAGACTTTGTAGACTGATTGCTCTTACTTAGACCCCTTTAATCTTACCTAGACCTCCCTTGAACTTACCTAGACGCCCTTGTTCTTACCTAGACGCCCTTGTTCTTACCTAGACCCCATTGAACTTACCTTTACCTACCTTCATCCCCCCTTGCGCTACCACTGCTCTGTATATTAGTAAGGCCTATACCTGAAGTATTCTGCATAGTTATGGTGTATATATATAACACTTTGTAGGTCTACAATTATTTACTTTCTACAATCAAAATAACTTGCAGAATTAGGTGGTTAAGTAGGATAGGTAAGGTATAGAACTGGAGAATCTGCTATATGCATTATGAATGCATATAGCAGGGGAGAGTAATCTCCCCCGAAGGCATAGATTACGTAGAACTGTGGGCCTTGGAACCCACCAACAACCTTCAGTAGCTGTGTGGAATCTGTTATTGCACGTGGTTTCTGTGGGGATGTTGGTGGGTTCCGGGCTTTGGGTAGTGGTTGTGGTGGGTGTTCTACGTATTTTATGCCTTTGGCCAAACTGTGCAAAGTTAAATATTGATGCATTGAGTTTACACAATTTAATCATTTTGGAAAATATAAGCGGCGTTCAGGCTCCTATGAATATAAAAGTATTAATGTTCAGAATTGCAGTTGGTTTGATAGTCTAAGTAGTGAAGTCACGCTTCTGGCAGCAGACGTTAATAATAATGAAAACCGCTATGATCTGAGGTGAAGTGTTAGTCGTTGTTTAATGTGCCTCATACCTATCCTGTGGGCGGTAGTCAAAAGGTAGAGGTACATAATGGGTTCAGGGACTGGACCCCAAAGTTATGATAGCTAAACGAGTTACAAAGGTAACGAACTCCAGGTAGATCTGGTCACAATCATGGCAAGTTACAAGGGTAATGAATCAGCCTCACAACTATACATTGTTACAATCATGAACAAATTACAAAGTAATGAGCCACTGACACGTCCACACCCGGTCACAATTGTAATGAGTTAAAAATACAAATATTTAGTCGCAGAAAGGATTCACTAACGTCTGATGCTGGCGAGTATAGTTAGGGGGGTGATTTAGATTGGTATTAGTGAGAATAGGATTATTAACCCTGCTGGGTTAGAAATCCAGGAAAATAGAGGTAGTGTGTGGGGGCTTGAATGTAGTGGTCCTCAGGTTGGGCTTAGGATGCCAGCCATAATTGGCAGGTAAGGTAGGTTATGAATTCAGGCTAGCATGGTAGCGTGTTAGGAAACTGGTATACGGCAGGCCTCCAACCGATTAAATAACCCATAGTGTTGGTTGTTAGCCTAGTGTGCTATGAGGGACGTGGAAATGTAGATGAAATACAATGTCTTAATGATCCTAACTACCTTCATGATTTGAATGCCCTTCGAGGGGTGTCTTTGTACTAGTGAAGGTATCTTGATACAAAGAGTTTCAAGTACCCTACCCTTCCTTGGATCAAACCCGATTGCCTAACCCCTGTGGATAATAGTTATGGGAAATTTTATTTGGGTAAATGTGCACGTTTGTAAAATAGTTTGAATGGGAGGGTGGGGGGGGGAGCGGTAAACTCGTCGACCTGTCCCCCGAAAGTCGATCAGTTTTGAATCAGAGGAGAGTAGTGCAGGTTGACTTTAACTGAAAAAAAAAAATTGATGTAGGTGTCTAAGGGATATTAGGAGTAGGTTTGGCTAGGTTGTAATTATGTTGCGGAGTTTACCCTCCAACTTGTTTAATTGCCGCAGAATCATCCTGACAAACAAATGTTTTCTCTCCAGTGGTGATCATTAACACAGGCTATTAAGACTTGTGCACGTGGAAGTGTTTGGGCAGTCGTATACAACACTTGTCGCAACATTGTCAGGAAGCTGAAGTACGAGGTCATGAAATTTAAAAATGTATCGTACCTCAAACTATTAATAATGGCAGTATTGAGGCTGTCCGCCTCATTACTACTATTGTTGATAGGGTTGGGGTAGGTTTTTTTTTTTTTTTCCAAAGAGCTTAAAGCTCCCAAATAGTGTGAATGTTGTCCTGCTGCTGACAAATACAGCAGTTAAGGCTTGTCTCGGTTATTTCCTTTTTCTGTTTTTTTTCTGTGTTCCTTGAACACCTTTGTGCGAGTGTTCCTTGAACATTTCTTTGTTGTGATAAAGAAAGACAGTTTATTCATTACATTTTAATTAATGCTCTTAAGTTTATCGAATCTTGTAGGTCGAAGATATTCTCCATGTGGGCAGCTGTTGTGTGGTGAAGTCCGTGTCGTGGGCAGCTCTGAAGACTTAGAGATGTCATAACCAGCAGCAACACGCCAAAACAATGTCTGTAAAGATAAAATTATGGACATAGCTAGATTATTCATGAACTGTAGTAAGCAATAGTTTGAAATCTATATTTAGAATGCTTCCTTCAACATTTTGTAGAAAGAAAAAGGGCTAAAATATTTTCAAAGCTGATATAAAAAATTACCATGAAATTGGAGTAATTAGTTTTTTATAATTACCACAGGTTGATGGAATTGGAAGAGCTGGAGGTGTTGAAGGTGGGGGGATGGCAGAGGAGTGAGTAGTGCGCCACTTTTCTTGACCTCCGTGGCTAAATGGCGCCATTGACCTGGAGGGTGATGACGTCAGTGGTTTGTGGAGAGGGGGAAGGGTCGGGGGTTGGCTGCTGGTGGAGGGGTTTAGGGTGAGTAGTTAGTTGTTACTGGTGGGAGGGTGATGGGGAGGGGGGTAGGGGGATGGTTGTCACTTGGTACTTACTAAGGAACTAACAGTCTTGTTACTGTCTGTTAACATGGCTTGAACCTTGATATTTGAAATGCCCTGGACACGAGCCAAAACACACTCGTTTCCCACATTCGTAATTCTAATGAACAATGTCCATGGATTCCTGTTGAAAACTGTCTCCATGATGGGTCCTACACAGATGACAGCAAGGAAATGAGTGAGCTACTCAAGTCCCAATATGACTCAGTTTTTAGCAAGCCGCTAACCAGACTGAGAGTCGAAGATCAAAATGAATTTTTTATGAGAGCCACAAAATTTGGTTAACACAAGCCTATCCAATGTTATCCTGACGCCAAATGACTTCGAACAGGCGATAAATGACATGCCCATGCACTCTCCCCCGGGCCCCCGACTAAATTGGGAAACTCCGTTTTCATAAAGAACTGAAAAAGAAGCCCCTATAAACGAGCCTTTTCCATCCTATGGAGGGGGAAACGGGGGGGAACGGGGGGCGTCCCACAGTTACTAAAACAGGACATCCCCCCAAAACCCCAAAAAGGGGGGCAGTAAAAAACAGAAAAGAATTCAGTCCGTAGCACTAACATCCCTTATCTTTAAAAAAATTTTGAAAGGGTCCAAAAGAACCCGGTTCCCCACCCATTTTATAACCCATCATTTTACCCCAACCAGGGAAACATGGGTTTAAAACAGGCGTCCTGCTTTTCTAAACTTTTTGGACACTCGCCCAAGGTTCCTAAATGCCTGGGAAAGGGTTTTAAAAAAAATGCAGATGAAAATATATACAGACTTTCCCAAAAGCCTTCGAAAAGTGTGCCCATGGCGTAATAGCCCCAAAAAAATCCCGTGCAAAAGGAAATTTAAAAGGAAAAGTCGGCCCGATGGATCTTTAATTTCCTCATTTAACAGGCCCCCAGGGGTTTTGTCGTCAACAGGGGTCAATTTCCGAAGCAGCTTACGGTTGAAAACCCTTTTTTTCCCAAAAAGGCACAGTACTCGCCCCACCCTTTTTCCTCATTTTCTTACCGACTTAGAAAAGGATGTCAGCCACCCCAACCGTGTCTTCCTTTGCTGAGGGAACACCCGAATCGCTTGACAGGCCCTTCCTTTGCAAAACACTGCAAGGCTCCAGGCGGACATCAACCGAATCTTTCGTGGGTTTGCGGGAAAAAAAATATGAAGTTCAACGAGGGAAAAAAATTTAAATTTACCAGATATGGTAAACACGGGGAAAATTTAAAAATCATCAGAGTACAAAAACAAATTTTGGCCCAAAAAGAGCGAAACCCCAAAGTCTAAGCCCGGGGAGTGATCATGTCGGAAGGATCTCACCTTCAAGGCCCAAAAACTTTGTATCAATGCATCGGGCTGGGAAAAAGGCTTGATGGATAATGAAAACCCTTCAAAACTAGGGAGGCCAACCCCTTGATGCCACTTTCAGGTCATTTGGGTTCTTTTCTAGGGGGAATATTGCTGCAACCACAAAACAGCACCTTTCAAGGCAGGTGAAATTCCCTGCCCTTTAGAAAAATTTTGAGAAAAAACCTTCAGGCGCGCCAAAACCCGGAAAGAATAAAAAACCTCAATTATGCGAGCGCTTTTTGGTTTCCTGAACCTGTATTCCCGGGAAAACGCGGGGTGGGGAAAATACATGATTATATCACCGGGAAAAATCCAGGGGGGGCTATTTCCGATCTTGCCAAAAAAAATCACTCATTACAAAAAAAAAAAAAAGATTGGGACGATGAAAACCCCCCCCAAATTGGAAAAGCAGGGGTATCACTAGCGCGTTTAAAGGACCTACTTTGGGGTTGTCGGGGCCTGAGCTTTTAAAAACTGCCTCCCAGCATACTTTGGGGGGGTTTCCCAAACAGCCCCCTGGCGGGTCTTCAAGCGGGGGCCCCTGGAACAAGCACCAAAAGTCAGTTCCTGGCCCCTGCCGGGCTGTGGCGGGTTACGTTGGTTTGCTTGCACCCGCTGCAACAGCCTGGTTAAATCAGGCTCTGTCCCCCAGGAGGCCTGGTCACGACCGGGCCCGCGGGGCTTTTCCCCCCCGGGAAACCCTCTCCCCATTTTAAAACCTCCGGGTAAATGATATTGGATGTGCGTATTTTGACATCTCTTGTTTTTTTTTTTTTTTTTTTTTTTGTTATTTGTTTTTAAAACAGGTGTTAAAATTTTTAATACCCACCCCATTTTATTTTACCCCTTCAACATTAAACATACAAAAAAAACTTTGCCACCCTATCCATACTTTTTGGGTTCCTTTCTGTCCAATACTTTTAAACAGGGCCCTTAAACCTTTTTTTTCACTTATCAAAAAATTAAAAATTTTTGAAAATGGTAAAAATTTACAAAAGTCAATCAAAACAAAACCATCACATGTGCCCCCAAAGTGTGAAAAGGGGAAATAAAAAAACTATGAAAATCTATTAGGTCATACCTAAAAACAACCATCAAGGATGGCCATTGCTAAACCTATACGTTCGTGAACGTGAACTTTTACAGTAATAAAACATGCCCCCAAAAAACCTTCGCCCTTTCAAGGGGGGCCCCTTTGGCGTGGTAAAAGAGGCTTTGGTCTGAGGAATTAAAACCTATGGTTTCCCTTCCTCAGCCCAAACCCTTTAAATTACCCCCAATCTCCCCCCCCCTATCCCACCCCTCCCCTTTCCCCCCCTTTTTTCCTTTCCCCCTCCTCCCCCCCAAATCCCCCCTTTTCCCCTTTCCCCTCTTTTTGCCCTTTTGGGATTTCTCCCCAGGCACGGTGTTCCTAGGTAGGGGAAAGGACCCGGGGTCGACCCCCTTTTCCGTTAAAGGTTTTTTGGGCGGGTGGCTTTATTTGCCGTGGAATCTGGTTTGGCCTAGGGATTTTCCCGACCCCTCTCCGGTATCCCGGAGTGGGTTTTTGGGGTGTTTTTTTTTTTTTTTTTTTTTTTTGGGCGAGGGTTTGTTTTTCGGGAAGCCACCTTTGGGGTTTCGGGGGGGGGGTGGTTTGAAGGAGGTTTTGCTTTGGGGGGGGGGGTTTTTCCGGCCCCCCCTCTTTTTGCCCACCGGGTTGTCGGAAGATGTGGGGTTTTGCTACCCCAAGATTGGGGTTTTTACTGGCTTTGGGGGGTTTGGGGGTTTGGCAGGGGTTTCCCATGTTTGCATCTGCGCTACTACCCTTTGTCGAGCCCTTTTTGGGCGCGGAGGGGGATTTCGGGGGGCCTTTTTTCATTCCCCCTTTAGAAACTATCCCCCCCCGGGGCCCCTTTTTTTTTTTCCTTTTTTTTTTTTTTTTTTTTCTTTTTTTCTTTCTTTTTTTTTTTAAAAAACCCAAAAAAAAAAGGAGTAACCTAACCATGGAAAGGCCCTTAGTCCATGAACCTTTTCCCCGGGGCCCCCTTTCTTGATACCCCCCCCCCGTTTGCCCCCGCCAGTGGGGGGGAAACCATTTCTTCAGCATTCCTCGCCTCTGTACCTTTTGCCGGTGCTGTTTCCTCCCCTTTGCTTCAGGTACGGGGCCTGGGACTGACTCCTTTCGTTTTTATCAGCCCTTTCGCTCTCCTTGCTAGGGTTCCCGGGCCCCTTCCCTTACGGTGGGGGCAATTTTCAAATGCCGACCCTTTTCCCGGGGCCCAACTCTGGTCCCACCCCTTTTAAACGTAAACGCCCAATTCCCTCCCTGTTACTTCCCCCCTTTCCCTTCTCGTTCTTCTCAAAAAAAGATCGACAGCCCTTTTCCAATTACCTTTCCACGCTCTTTTTCCCAGATGAACGGGGACAAAATTTTTTCCCACTTTCCCGCCAACTTCCTCATGCCTATCTTTCTGACCATAGTATTGGAAAGGCATCCTACCCCCATTTTGGTTTTAAAAGTTTTTCCCTTTTCTTGTTCTTAAAAAGGGGTTTACGCGCACCCATTACCGAAACAAAATTTGCTCCCCGGGGCCGTGAGCTCTCTCGTCTTCCCTATAGATACTGTCCTGTCCCCCTTGAAAAAATCATTCCCTAAATTCTTGTTGTGGTCCCTTTTTTCTGCCCCTTTCCCATTTTTTCAACAAAAATTTTTCCCAAAAGGGCGGCACCGAATTCTAGAACGGGGGGGAACCCCAAGTTCTCCCAATCTAAAGGTTTTGGGGACATTACGTTTTTCCCTGCCGTGGGCGGAAAAGTTTTCCCTGAAATGTGGCTTTTTAAATTTTTTGACAGCCGAAAAACCCCTTTCCTCGGGTTTATATACCCGGGGAACACCCGGTTACAAGTTCAAAAGGGGTGATCCCCACCAAAAACAGTGTAAAAATTTGGGGGCGTTTTGGGGCCATCCAGCAAAAATATTGCGATCTATCCCCGAAGGGCCAGTCTGTGGTTTGCCGATAAACCTTTTCTAATACGTCTTGCAATCGATCCCCCTCTTCCCTTAACTGTCATGGGTCCCCCCTTTTCGTACCCCGCCGTTGTCGGTTTCTTTTTAAAAACGAGGGGGAAAGGTCCGTTACCTCAAAGAGACAGAAGGTCCCCCCCCTTAATGCCATGGCAGTTTTTTCTCTCCCCCCTAAAAAGGGAGACTCCCCGTGTTTTTTTCCCCCGTTTTTAAAAAGTCCCCCCACTTCTGGAATCCCATCTTCAAACCCCCATTTGGTGGTTCCCTTTCCCATAATCACTCCGGTTTTTAAACCCTTTTTGTTTGCCTCGGCTCAGCCCGTCCCACTTAAAGGGCCCCCCCAGTCAAATTCTGGGCTTCTGCGGTTCTCTCTTAAAACCCTCAGTATCGCAAAGACCTCGTAGACCCCTTTCCCAATCGCCCCTTCTACTTCTAAAAAAGGTAAAAAAAAGGGCCCGGTAACACCCCCTTTACCCATTTTCCAACCTCCCCCTTTTCCCCTCCCTGTCTCGGGCCCCCTG